GGCTTACGCCAACGCCGAGAAAATGGTGCGTTAAATATTCTGACAGTTGGCCAGTCGAACGGTTCGGCATAGAGTCAACGCTTGTGTTCAGTCACGCACCACCGCATACAGCTTCATGGCAGATTTTTGGGTACTAAGATCAATATCTGCTTGTCAGCCAAGCGATGCCGTGCGTCTCGAGCAGTGGAAGGTACCACCAAATGTCGAACTGGCTGATTCTGAGTTTTTCAGACCAGCTAAAATAGACTTGCTGCTGGGAGCCGAAACATATTTTCAGCTTCTGGGCGTTGGCCAAATAAAACTCGGTCCCACACTTCCAATTGTACAAAAGACGCTGTAAGGTTGGATTGTGTCTGGAAAATGCACCCAAAGGGCACCTTCTGCGTCAACAATATGTAATATTGCCATCAAAGACAATGAATGTTCTCTCGATTCTCTGGTTGAACATTTTTGGGAGTTAGAGAAAGTCCCAGAAAAATCGAAAGCTAGTTGTTACTCAGCTGAACAGTTAGCCTGCGAGCAAAGCTTCGTTCAAACAGTCCGCAGGCTACCTTTTGGCCGTTTGGAAGTAAATCTTCCTCTTAAACGAAGCCCTAATTCGCTTGGTCATTCCTTTGAGATAGCAAAAAGGCTTTTCTTATCGTAAGAGCGAAGGCTGCTTAAAGATGAAAGCTCACGTCACATGTACAATAAGTTCATGAGAGAATATTTAGATCTCGGTCACATGTCAGAGCTTTATGGTACTCCTCCAGAACCACACTGCTATATTCCTCATCAGTGCGTTCTGAGGCCTGAAAGTAGCACCACTAAGCTGCGCGTAGTTTTCGACGCGTCTAGAAAAACCTCTTCGCTTGTGTCGCTGAACGATACTTTAATGGTAGGTGCTACAATTCAGAGGGACCTCTATGCCACTCTAATTAGTTTTCGGCTGCATAGATACGCAATAAGTTCCGACATTTCTAAAATGTACCGGCAAGTAGGAGTGACTAAATCAGATCACAACTTTCAGCTGGTTCTCTGGCTACAGGATGCTTCTCAAGATCTGAAAACGTACCGTTTGAACACGATCACTTTTGGAACTGCCTCGGCGCCATTTCAGGCGATTCGATGCCTTTTGTGGATGTGGCAATCCCAATGAGCTTGCATACATCTTGGGACACATTCAAGTCAAATCTGCTTAAACTCGATCAAATTATTATACCGAGATATGTAGGTCTCGCCGGAAGTCGAACTATCCAAACACATGGTTTCGCAGATGCATCCAGCCACGCTTATAGGTGCTGCATCTACATTCGAACTGATAACGGTAACAATGCTGTCTCTGTCTTGTTGTACTGGCTTAAACGAGATCCATCTTCGCTGTCGACATTTGTCGCCAATAGGGTTGCGGATATACAAGTAATTGCAAGTCAAACGATTTGGCGCCACGTACCGACCGAATGGAACCCCGCCGATTTAGTGTCCAGAGGCACTAATGTTGACGAGTTGGAATCGTCCATTTGGTTTAACGGCCCCGTATTTTTATTGAAACCTACTAATCATTGGCCAAACTTACATCAGTTTGAGTCAGCACCAGATTTAAAGTCGTCTGAGGACAAAAAAAAGTGTCGGCACACACTGTCACTGAGACATATTTAAGCCCAATTGAGGCCTTAATTGAAAGGTGCTCCGATTTCAAAAAGCTGGTTCGTATAGTGGCATACGTGAATCGGTTCTGTCTCAAATAGAAATGCAAAAGCAGATGCTTGTTTACTGGCTTTCCTTAAACTAATAGAAATTGCACCAGGAGGTTAAAAATTTAAAGGCGTCCAAATTGCTTCAACCGAAATATCAGCGTCTGAATCCGTTCATGCACCAGTACGAGCAAAACGGAGTTAGCTTGCAACTTGTGCGAGTAGGTGGATGGCTGCTTAACGCTTCTCTGCCGTACGACGCGAAATTTCCTTTGCTAATGCCACGAAATTCGCGTCTTGTAAATCTTTTAGTTCGCGCCTTGCATTTTGAAAACCATCATGCAGGTGCCAAAGTCATGGTTGCTCTTCTTAGGCAACAAATATGTTTTATCAATAATGCTCGAGAGGCATGCACAAGGGCAGTAAAAAACTGCGTGCATTGCTTCAGCTACAAACTAAAGTTGCTGAGTCAAATAATGGGCAACTTGTCATCCGATCGCGTGAATCCTGAGCACGAGTTCGCGGTTTGTGGCGTAGAATATTTTGGTCCTTTCCACGTCAGTCTCAGAATTCGTGGAAGAGCCCCTTTAAAGCCCTATATCGCAGTATTTGTGTATTTTACGTCAAAGGCAGTCCACCTCGAACCTGTTGAAGACCTGTCGACTGATTGCTTTTTAAATTCTTCACCAGACGGGGTCTTCCAGAGCGCGTGTACAGCGACAACGCGACAAATTTCGTGGGCAGCATTCGGCGACCAGAAGGATAGGAAGGTGTCGTACGTCGTACAGCGAGCACCCCACTTCGAAGGACTGTGGGAAGTAGCAGTGAAGGCCGCCAAGAATCGCCCTCGACGCCTTCAGAGGTGGAGGTAGAGGCTCTACTCAACTCCAACTCCCCCTCAGCAGCGATCCAAGCGACGGCGAGGCCCTCACTCCAGGCCACCTGCTAATAGGTCGGCCTCTACGTTCGCTGCACGAATCCGAGCCACGAAGGGCTGGCAGTAGGACTAGCTCCGGGTTGTTGAAACGGTGGCAGCAACTTTCGGCGCTCAAGCTTCAGTTTTGGCTCAGCTGGTCCTGGGGCTACGTCCTCAGCCTGCAGCAGCGGACTCGGTGGGCCAAAGGAGAGCCCAACGTGGAAGTCGGCGCCCTCGTTCTCATCCACGAGGACAATCTTCCACCCCAAAAGTGGCTGACAGGAAGCGTGGTTCGCACAACCGTCGAGCAAGACGATAAGCGCGTGTGGCAGAAGTACGCACAGCAACAAAAGTGGTGAAACGGCCAATTCACAAGCTGGCCGTACTACCAATAGGTTAAAGCCTATCACTTTAACGAGACCGGAATGTTGAAGCAGGAGTTGGTTAGTTATAAGTTTGATTATTGTTGAATTGTAGATTGTAGACCTATTGTAAACTTAATTTGTAAGCCAATGAATTTTTAGCAGTGTAGTAAATGGAATATGTATAAGCTTAGGTTAGCATTGTAACTTTAAGGCGCGCTGTTAGAATGTAAGAAAAGTTCGCATTGTCATAGGCCTAAGCATAAATAGAAATTAATACAACTGGCACTCGTTAACTAGCATTGAAGAACGACACATGAATTCTTTAGCACAAATAAATTTCGTTAACTTCTCCATCAACCCAACTATAGTATTATTCATTACCGCGGTCGATTTATAGTTTCAGTTAAATACATATACATAAATAAATATAAACAAATATTTATAGTATATATATATATCTCTATATATATAAAACAGTTCGTCCTGACTGACTGATTGACAATCAACGCACAGCCCAAATGGTAAGAGCTAGGAAGCTGAAATTCGGGTAAAAGTTGTCTTTTATGGTGTAGGTGAGCATTAAGAAGCAATTTTGGAAAAGGGGGAAAACGGGCTCCAAAGATGTATGAAAAATCCGCAATTTTCATTTGATTGGCTTCAAACTGGGTTTGTGTAATCTATAAAAGAATTAAAAAAACACTGCATACTTGATTTTTCACCGTTTTCTTGGGGCAGGAAAAAGGAGGGTTTCCTGTGGAATAATTCAAACACAATCAACACCCCATAGGAAGGAATTTTTGTAAATTCGAGCTCCAAGTGGGGGAAAATTAGATTCAAAGTTTGTTTGAAAAATCCGCATTTTCCACCAATCAACTTCAAATTTTGTTTTTAAAATCTATAAAAGAATGAAAAAAAAACTGCATACTCGGTTTTTATAGTCTGTACATGAAATGTTCAAGAGTATATTAGGTTTGCGGGAGCTAAAAAATGTAACAGGCAGAAGGAGGCGAGGCAGACCCGACAAAGTATATATATTCTTGATCAGCATGACAAGACGGGTCGATCTAGCCCTGTCTGTCCGTCTGTCCGTATGAACACCTGGATCTCAGAGACCATAAAAGATAGAGTCAGCAAAGTTTGCACAAGATGCCTTATTTGTGGACGCTATACGAGTTTGTTTTATTTTTTTGATTTTACCCCCGATAATGGTTTTTTTTTTCGTAGCGCCTTTCGTATAACCACGTATATCTCGGAAGATATAAGACCTAGGGACATAAAATTAGAAGTCCAAGATGCCTTATGTGAACACGCAGGAATTGTGTATTTTGGAAATTCCCTCCTTCCCCATTTACACTCGCAATTCGTGATGGAAACATAACTCCTGTAATTCTCGGAATTTTTGACACAAATTTGGCAAATACGTACAGTTAGTGACTATGTGTGCTTATACTAAATGTCATTATGATTAACCTATTTATCAGGAAGTTATAGCCATATATATAATATTTGGCCAAGCGCTGCCCGCAGTTGTTGTTGTTGCTGCTTTGGTTCAAAATTTTGCTACATGCATACATGAATAGACACGCATAGGCATGCATACACTCCCATAGACACAATTCCTATGTAAATGTCTAATTATACACCCCTTACGTGAGTTCGAATACCAAGGGTGGTAATTTTTTTTTTTTTAATTTTCTTCATTTTTAACATTTCTATAATTTATCTACACATATGTACAGAGTATGTCGTACATATGTACAAAGTCGGGACACCTGACTTTAGCATTTCTACATGTTTTTATCATTTTATATTGAGTAATACTTATTACATAACTTATATGTATATGCATTCTATAAAATGTTGTTCATTTATTACTTATTGTGTCGTCATCAAAACTGAAACTATTCCTCTAATTAATTATAGCTTACATAATTTTTAAGGTTTTTGGACATCTCCACTTCACCCGTTAATATGAAGAAAACTGCAATCGGTAAGTCTCCTTCTTTTATTATTATGCGTCCCGAGGATATTGGCATAAATTGTACAACCGGTATTAACCTAGCACGAATTTTCTGCATGCATTTAATGGATTGGTTAATTTAAAAGATAAGAAGTTTATGGTTTGACTTACTGGTGGAATACGAGCAAAGCACCTAAGTCCAGCAAATAAGTGACATAATTTCTTTCTTTCAGAAACAGAGCGAGCGGCATGTGGTGTTCTTATTAGGGATTTTTCCTTTGTTTTTTTTTTGTGATGTTAAAAAATGAATGAAATACTAAAAATCACTGGTTGTTATAAATAAACTTACACCTAATGTTAACATCCCTACTTTTCTCTTGGTTCGTAAAAGTAAGGCTTTATTTTTTTTCGTATTCAAAGATATTTTTTGATCCCCGGTATCATCAAGCCATTGTAAATTAACTATAACTGCACGGACTAACCTTTTAAAAAAATATTTCAGGTACGTTTTTCTTAAAAAGTCTTCAGCTACGCGAGTTCGCTTCGACATATTAAACAATAAAAAAGGTAACACAAAAATAAATTTTAAAATTAAACGTCAATGAATGAACTGAATATGTTCTGTATTCATCTTGATTAATAAACACTAGCTTTCTATGTGTTAGACAAACATCATCCAAATACCATTCCTTCAACAACCTAACTCTCAAGCTTCAAAATAATACATACAACAAACTTGCACAGCATACACACATGAGGCAATATGGTGTCTCTAGCTATTATAATCTCTGAGATCCAAGTGTTCATACGAGTTCAGATATTTGTTTGTTAAATCCAATATAGATATAATCTGTGTGTCTGCGACGTGTCTTGTCTTAGTGATCAATTTTTATGTTGTGATAGTTATAGTGTATATCGTTATAATCGCGAGAGCCATGCGGAGGGTGTTGCTCTGTACATTAACTGCACAAAAGTTTTTCCGTAACGCCGTTCATATCATCGCCTATTTTTTTGAGACTATAAGACCTAGGGACATCAAATTTAAAGTCCAAGATGTCTTATGTGAATACGCAGAAAATGTTTTTTTGGAGTAACTCGTTCGACATTTTTTTAAAATTTTCTTATTATTCTAAACATATGTACAGAGTATTTCAAAGTCGGGACACTCGATATTAACTTCTCTACTTGTTTTTTAAAATCTTTATTCGTTATTTAAGATCTGTCCCAAGAATGACAATCATTAAATTTTATGGTAGCATTGAAATTTGTTCAATCATGCTGTGGTTGTTTTAGCCTCTGGTACTAACTAGTGGCTGAATATTTTACAATTGGTACTTGAACCAAGTGTATTCGGAGGAGCTGAAAGGAAATGTGAGATCAGAGCGAGTGTTCTTGTTGTTCTGTCTGTTTATTGATTGAAATGCAAGGGCTTATATACTAAATTTGAATGTGCGCAGGTCTAATTATTACTAACAAGTGTATCTTAAAATATATTGCCCATGCGTAGCTCGTGATACGGTCAAGTGCGTGTGACATTGACAGTATGATGAACTTCAGCGCTATGGGGCATACATATATGAACAGCAACAATATAGGTATATTGATAATTAACAAACCATAAATATATTTAGTCCTGTTTAATTTGGAACACACCTTGTATACATACATACAGGTTGCGCCATCTTTTATGTCGGTATGTAAACATTGAATATCTTTGAAAATAAACAACCGATTTTCAAGTATGAGATATTTTTTTATTTAATTTGGTTCTGTACAATTTTTTCAGACTAATTTTATACACTGGTCTACTCAAGTCAATCGGTTCACTAATGACAAAGTTATTCAATATTTACATACCGACATAAAAGATGGCGCACCCTGTACATACATCATAATTATTTCTTCTCCTCTTTAATGAAAAGTTACAAAAATACAACGCGGCTTATCTTGTATTCTTTCTCAGAGTAAATAAATAAACCATGTTTAAAGTTAATTAAATTTCTAATTTTGTAAAACCACTTCTTGGTGATCACCAACACTTTGACAGCTTTTTAACGCTTACCATTTTGGCTGTGCGTTGATTGCACATACCCACATACATACTACATGTACATAAATACAGTGAGCCAATCCCGTGCGGGACATTTAATTTTGATTTAAAAGTCGGGACGTCCCACCAAAATCGGGACGTCTGCCAACGCTGATATGTACATACATTTTATTTTTTTATGCAGGCGCTATCTATCCTCATGTGCATGTACGTACATATCCATACATATAAGTATACATACATACATATGTAATCAATTGTACAGTTAAACACTTATCCATATGTGTTTGTTGAATATGAATGTTGTAAGTGTAAAAGGCGTGTTTCTGCTTTTGTAAATCGCGGTGTATGGATACACAAATTTTTTTTGTAAATCGAATAATTAGGAGAATGTCGATATTTAATTTATGATTTTATTCTTGGGTATATGGTAGTCCAATTTTAAGGACCGATATATGTACATAATATTCCTTTTTCATAAAATATTAATTTATTTTATGCAAATGTGGCTAACATTAACATTGCTGTTTTTTGGATATGCGAGATCCATCCAAATCCCTTGCTTTTTTCAACAATAAAATACATATACATGTATGTATGTATGTACATGACAGAATGCCTTAAGATAGACTTTGTGCAAAAAACTGGAATAAATATTAGAGTATTTCCTAATTTGAAATTCTATTTTGGTCGTGTTGTTTTTGTTTCTATCGCATTTTCGTGTGTTCGTGCTTATTAAGTCAACACGAACACGCACAAAATTTGAATATGAAACACGGCAACCGTGTGCACGCAGTGCAGCGATGTGCCACGAATAATAAAACACACAGATTGAGTGTGTCACTGTGTAAGTGTGTTTATGTGGTGTCCCCAACTGTTTCATATTGTGCGCTCTTTGTTATTTATTGTTATACTCTGTACATTTTATGTGCAGAGCCGTGTTGTGCCGTGTTGCTGAAAATGTAACAGGCAGGAGGCGTGGCAGACCCCACAAAGTATATATATTCTTGATCAGCATGACGAGACGAGTCGATCTAGCCCTGTCTGTCTGTCTGTTTGTCCGTCTGTCCGTATGAACACCTGGATCTCAGAGACTATAAGAGGTAGAGACACCAAACTTTGCACAAAGATGCGTTATAGGTGTACGCCACTTTCCCACTATAGGGGTTTTCGCGATTTTCCATTTGTATAATCGTCTATATCTAATAGACTAGAAGACCTACGGACACCAAATTTTAGTCCCAGATGCCTTATGAGAATACGCAGAAAATGTGTATTTTGGAATTTCCCTCCCTCCTCCCTCTCCCCTGTAAATCGCAAATACCCCGAGTTAGTTATTATGTGTCCGTATGCCAAGTTTCACTATGATAGACCGATTTAACAAGAAGTTATAGCCATAAATATATTTGCTGCTGCAGCGCTGCTCAAGCGCTGCCCAAGCGCTGCCCGCGGCTGTTGTTGATGTTGCTGTTTGGTTGACTGCGAAAATGCTTACACAGGCACAAAATTCATACACTCCCATAGACGCAATTGCTTTGTATATGTGCAATTATATACTCTTTACTTGAGTTCGAATACCAAAAGAGGTAAAATCGATCAAATTTTTATACTCTGTACATAAAATGTACAAGAGTATATTAGGTTTGCGGGAGCTGAAAATGTAACAGGCAGAAGGAGGCGTGGCAGACCCCACAAAGTATATATATTCTTGATCAGGATGACAAGCCGTCTGTCCGTCTGTCTGTATGAGCGCAAGGACCACAGCAAGTACAAGAGCAAGAATAACCAAACTTGGTATCCAGATTCTCCTAAATCCCCACTCCCCCGCAATAAATGTTTTTCATAACTCCAGTAATTCTTGGAATTTTTAACTCAAATTTGGCATATACATACAGTTAGTGATTATGTGTCCGTTAGTTAAGTATCATCATGATCGGTCAATTCTGAAGAAAGTTATAGCCATAAATAAAATCGCTGCCAATGCGCCGGTTTGGTTCAACTTTGTGCTACATATGTATGTACATACACGCATATAAACACGGAGACACGATTCTGATGTAAATGTATTCTGTTGAAACTGTACATGAACGTGTCTGCACTTTTCTATATACGTATTGAATTTAATTAAATAATTTAATTAATATATTTTTTTTTCATTTTTTCCTTTTTGGTGGGAGGTACAGGGTATTTAAAGTTAAGCCTTCTCGACATTAGCATTTTTTCTTGTTTTTAGTCTAAGCTTAAGCCAAAATACACGATATGTGAAACCTCCCATACGAGATTTATATTCCACCGAGAATTGGTTTCGAGGCAAAATTTAGGCGGCTGAGATTTCTGTGGCAGCCTTGAGTGTGTGTCTCTTTACCTAACTACATCTATGTGATTGTACTTTGTTGTTGCCTGCGGGCAGATCTTCGTTTAATGTGTTGGTCCATCGAACGTCTAGTCAGCCTTAAATATTCATAATTCTAAATAGCAGTTTCGTTTTTATTCTCTGTACATGAAATGTACAAGAGTATATTAGGTTTGCTGGAGCTGAAAAATGTAACAGGCAGAAGGAGGCGTGACACCCCACAAAGTATATATATTCTTGATCAGCATGGCAAGACGAGTCGATCTAGCCCTGTCTGTCTGCCTGTCTGTCCGTATAAACACATGGATATGTGAATACGCGGAATATGTGTATTTTGGAATTTCCCTCCCCTCTCCAGCGCAACCACTGATTTTCTGATTTGGGAAGTACCCCCAGTAAGTGATTATGTGTCCGTTTCATTATAATGCCTTTAACAAGAAGTTATAGCCATAAATATATTTGCTACCCAAGCGCTGCCCGCAGCTGTTGTTGATGTTGGTGCTTTGGTTGACTGCAAACATGCTCACACAGACGCGAATAAACGCGCATAAGCATACATACACTCATATAGACGCAATTGCTTTATAAATGTGCTATTATACACCCTTTACTTGAATTCGAATACCGAGAGAGGTAAAATCGATCAAACATTTTTTTTAATTCTCTTAATTTTTTTAATTTCTATAATAACCCTAAACATATGTACAGAGTATTTCAAAGTCGGGACACCCAACTTTAGATTTTTTACTTGTTTCTAAAAAAACTATACGATAATGTTTTTAAAGAATTTTTAAAAATGTAGATAAAAAACCTTAAATTAAGACCAATTGCTCCAATTCCACTGTTTTGAAATCGTTCCTAATTATGAATTGAAGGTCTTCTTTTTTCTGTTTACGTGATCATCTTGAGTATCGTTTTGTACTCAACATTCGCATTTCAATATCAATATATTATCGATATTCTCGTTTGATACGCATCGCTATATGTTTATGTATATTTTCGTATTTTACATTATTTTTAAAGTACCTAAACTTAAATTTTTTGTATTATAAGTTGAATTAAACGAGACAATAGATCCAAATATTGTATAATGCCAGGATGCAGTAACAAGGTTACATAAAATGTGTTTAATAAACGCCTCAAATTGTTTCTAATATTTTTTTGTTATTTAGGCCACTAAGGCGGATAGTCAATCCTCTACAGCTGTACCGACACGATCGGTAATAATGTTGTTAGCAGCATCCTTGACAACTGCTGTAATTGTTGAACTCATGCTCTACTACAGAAGTGAATCTTGGGGCAATTCGAATAATGCGACTACAGAATTCATTGCGCGATCACCCACATATGCAATTTTTAGCAAAAGTGAATCTGAGGATCATTTGGTCCATGTAAAAACATTGTTGCACAAGTTCGGATATAAACGGGTAGATATTGACAGCGACTGGAACTTGCTTTGGGCGCATGACTACCCTTATGCCAATTTCATAAGTTTAAAGAGTTTAAGCGCAAATCAGTTGGTAAACCATTTCCCTGGTTGTGGTTACTTAACTAACAAAGTCGATTTGAGCACCAACACTAAAAGGTTGACATTTCTGCCCCAGGCGTTTCGACTACCAGAGCAGAGTGAGCTGTTTTTACAATATGCGCGTTCATTTCCCGACAAACTTTTTGTTCAGAAACACAACGAGCACCGTGGCATTAAAATAAAAGCCTTCAGAGACGTCGAACTGAACATGAGTGATTCCTTCGTGCAAGAATTTTTGCAAAATCCCTTTCTAGTCGATGGTTATAAATTTGACATCGGCGTGTATGTTGTGATCACTTCCGTAAATCCTTTACGTGCTTACATTTACACTGGCGATGTTTTGTTTCGGTACTGCCCTAAGAAGTACCATCCATTCGATGCCGAGGACATAAATAAGTACATTGTAGGAGATGACTATTTGCCAACATGGGAAGTGCCATCACTTCGTAAGTACTATACTAATTTTGGCGCTAGCATGCGTGATGCTTTTGAGGCTTACGTTCGTGATCAGTCAATGGATCCTGCTGGTATATGGCTGCAAGTTGAACACATCCTCCGTACCACAATTCAAGAAAAGGAGAAAGATATATTTGACACCTTTCGCTCATACAAAACACATAATTTCTTTGAATTAATGCGTTTTGATTTCTTTATTGACGCGAACTTAAATGTTTACCTCATGGAAGCAAATATGTCACCGAATCTTTCCTCGGCTCACTTCAAGTCCAATTCTATTTTATATAACCAGGTTCTTTACAGTGTTTTTAGCTTGGTGGGCATTCGTCCTGTGAGCTCTCATGACTACACAAATTTCATGTGAGTGTGACATGAATTAAGTAGAATTAGAAGCCATATTTAATTTTGTTTTTTTAATTAAATTTTTGATTCACAGGTCGGCTGAAGTCAATGATATAACAGATGATAAAAATTTAGCCACTGGTTTAAATAAGTGTGCCAAATATAAATGCGACAAGTCTTGTAACCAAGAGAATTGTAATCTATGTCTGCCTTGCTTGAGTGGATCTGATTATGAGATTATAAAAAAGGCACATCGGGAGCATTTGCATCGCGCCGATATGAAGCGTATTTTTCCAAAGGAAATTGTAAGTACCTAATTTTCCACAAAACACATTATGTGAATAAGGCTTCTTGGACTGCTGATCAAGAATATATGTATATATTTTGTGCGGTCTCCCACGTCTCCTACCTCTCCCCCTTCCGATGTACATATATCGACATACAAATTAAGCAAGTTCGCTGTTGAGCGAATTTATAAGATGCGCGGTGTCGCACAAATGAGTAGACTTTTTAATTAATGCTTTCACGTGGCGATGACCGACGCGGTTTATTTCCAAAAATCAACTAACTCTACGTACAGAAAAGTTCTTAAAATGAAAGCTAGCCCTGTGACCCATATTTGCTGGTATTGCACTTTCTTCAAGTGCAAGTCTATGCTTATCGTTCTTATTCTGCATGATCGAGCGGTCACTGACTTATGACCGGCCGGATGTGTTAACTCCTCCCTCGCTAAGTTGAAGGCCGTCCTCGGTTTTCCTCAGACTCTCGATAACAATCTGCAAGGAAGATTGGCGGCTAGCCCTTCTCCGTTTCTGGTACAGCTTCGAAAGAAGGAGTCCAATAGCTATGATGAAAAGAATGGATGCGCTGAACATCGCCGGTCTTGTTGTCAGTTTATCCTCTATGCCACCAATGTACCGCGGATTTTCAATGTTTAACCCTTGCAGATATGGCAGGCTCATAATTTCTTGGTGACCAGTGATATTCAGGAATGCCGATGCTGCTGAGGCCGGGTGTCATCGGACGATATTCTTCCTGTTTCTGAACAAAGACCCGTTAATCCAGACTTCTTCATCGAATGTCAGCAGGAACGTACCATGGATACGTTTCTCTGTACTATTGTCAATTTTTATTTCGGCAGTTCCCTCATTTATTATGATGATACCGTCGTCCACAACCTCTAGCGTTTTTAGATGACTGGGACGAGTGCTGCAGTGTGCGGTGCCACCGGAGTGGAGTTGTTGCGCACATGTCGCGGACGATAGCTCCTTGCAAAATGTTGACGTGAGAGTATCGGTGCAATTTCCGATTGGCAGGATTTTATTGCCACAGTCTGCGACATTATTATCTTCAGCAAAATGTAGTATTGTACCATTGTGTTGTACAGGAAACAGGGTGATCTTTTTACAGACTAAGCTAGGATCAGGATATTTAATTATAAAGTGCAGAAAATTATTATCTAATACAACATTGTCAATGTTACTATGTCATTGTCATTGTCAATATGTCATATGCTACTTCCATTAAATCTGTTATTGCAATAATAGTAGAGTGCTCATTTAACATTTTCTCTAAATCTTTAGAATCAAGAATAGCGGGGTTAATAATTTGGATCTTAGCAAGTGTAACAGACAGCATTAATGTCTCAAGTTCCGAAATTAAAATTCTATCCCTTGCGAGTAATGTTTCGTAGAGGTGGCCAGTTTCGATTTGTTTTTTCTTCGTATCCCTGACAATCAGATTTACAGTTTCAGTTTATTTATTTATTTTTTCTTGTACTCTAGTGTTAATAACTAAACTTTGTTGATTGTACTTTATTTTCTCGAAATCGTCGAAATCCGGGGGTTCCAGCAACTATCTTCAGAGCTGTTCCCAAAATATTTATACTTCTTGTATGTCTATGATGAATGTTAATAGTTTCTAAAAGTGTTTTTATATGACCTATGTCAGATTCTAGTATTTTTATACTCTGTACATGAAATGTACAGAAGTATATTAGGTTTGCGGGAGCTGAAAAATGTAACAGGCAGAAGGAGGCGTGGCAGACCCCACAAAGTATATATATTCTTGATCAGCGTGACACGACGAGTCGATCTAGCCCTGTCTGTCTGTCTGTCCGTCCGTATGAACACCTGGATCTCAGAGACTATAAGAGATAGAGACACCAAATTTTGCACAAAGATGCCTTATGTGTGTATTCTATACGAGTTTGTTTTATTTTTTTGATTTTCCCCCCCACTTGCCCCCTACTCGCGTAATTCTTGGAATTTCGAACTAAAATTTTGGCAATACCCCCAGTTTGTTAATATGTGTCCGTGTACCAAGTTTCACTATGATAGACCGATTTAACAAGAAGTTATAGCCATAAATATATTTGCTGCTGCAGCGCTGCTCGCGGCTGTTGTTGATTTTGCTGTTTGGTTGACTGCACACATGTTTACACAGACACGAATAGATGCGCATAGGCATACATACACTCACACAGACGCAATTGCTATGTAAATGTGCAATTATACACCCTTTACGTGAGTTCGAATACCGAGAAAGGTAATATCGATGAAATTTTTTTTTTTTTATTTTCTTAATTTTTTTTATTTTCTATAATTATTGTAAACATATGTACAGAGTATTTCAAAGTCGGGACACCCGACTTTAGCTTTTTTACTTGTTTTCATGTGGGACTGGGAAAAATGTTTCATGAGAAGTTGTGTTTCCTCGGCTTTTTCCGAGTACATAGTCAGATTGGATGAATGTCTGAGATACTTAAAATTCTTCCAGATGATTGCGTTTCCGTCTAGTAGTGGGATATAATCCGAATTCGAGTAGTCGGTTAGCTTGGCAGTTGTTATTGTAACAAAAAGCAGGCAGAAACCTAAATAGAATAAATGAAAAATAATAATAAATGAAATGAAAGCTCATCGTATATTGTCCTTATAGACCTCCCTTCCACTTATCAGAACCGTTGTTCCCAAGTCAGCTTCTACTGTAACTTCCTCGTACAGGGGTGTTAGTTTGTTTCCTAGCCTTTTATTTATTTTTATAAGTACTTTGTCTTGTCTCGTTGTGTCTTTGAAGCTGCGTTTCTTGGGCTTTATTAATTTTGTCTCTTATTTCTGCTTCAAATTCCGGTGTGGAAGAGTGTATTACGTCGATTGGTCTCTTGTTTATGGTGGAGTGTACTGTCTTATTGTATTCTATTGTTGACTGAAGTATCAACTCGACTGTGTCGTTCATGTGTTTTTCTAATTTCAGGCACCTAGCAACTTCTGCTAGAGTACTATGAAATTTCTCTACCTGTCCATTTGAAGTACTATGAAGTGGTGGGGAATTTACGATCTAAACAATTTGCTTTCTAAAAGTGATTTGATAGTTCCTGAATTTGAAGAGGGCTCATTGTCGCAATATATGATTGTGGTATGAGGATAAAAATTCATAAGCTGTAAAATTGGTGGCTCTATGTTTATTATAGTTCTAGAAGCTATATGGTGCATTTTCTTCTAAGGCGTGAAAATTCTGCCGCGATAAGGCGTCAGCAACAAAGTTTTCTTTCCCTGGTTTATAAAACATTTGAGCATTGTGCTCATCAATAAAAGCTTTCCATCTTTTAATTTTCGCGTTTGGGTTCCTATCTGAGACTGCGAATGTGAGTGGCTGATGGTCGGTGTAAATATTCAGATTTTTAACGCCATATAGATAATTTCTAAGGGTTTTTAATGCTAACACTATAGCAAGTAACTCGCGCTCATTTGTTGCGAAGTGTTGTTCGTTATCTCTTAATGTTCTGGAAATCATAGTAATTGGTTTCCTATCTTGAGACAGAACTGCCCCCAGGCCAACGGATGAAGCATCCGTCGTTAAGTCAAATGGGTTCTGATAGTCGGGGTAAAGTAGCATAACGTCATCAGACACGAGAATATTTTTCAATTTCTCAAAAGTTAGACGTTGTTTCTCGTTAAGGCTTACAGGAATTTTTTTGATTGTCCTGCACTGATTTTGCCGTTGTCACCCTTCAGTATTTCTGTCAATGGCTTAGCAAAACCTCCGAAACCCTCATATTTGCATAATAGAGTTTATCCAATACCCATGCAATATGTTTTACGTGGTCTTCCATTCTTTTCGAAAAAATGATAACATCATCCATATAAACATAGCATGACTTCCCAATTTGTTCCCGAAGGACATCATCAATGGCTCTCTGAAAAATACTGGGGGCGTTTTTCAAGCCAAAAGGAAGTCTGCAGAATTCATACTTCCCGTTCCCTACAGAGAAGGCAGTTTTTTCCCTATCCTTTTCCGCAAGTAGTATTTGGTGAAATCCCGATTTTAGGTCAAGTGTCGTAAAATACCTAGCTTTCCCTAGATTTGAGAGGATTGCTACAATATTGGGTATAGGGTATATATCATCTGTAGTTTTTGAATTAAGTTTTCTAAAATCTATAACAAGACGCTTTTTCCTGTTTCCCTGTTCGTCTGTCCCCTTTTTATCAACTACCCACACCGGATTATTATAGGGTGATCTAGATGGCCTAATTATTTTGTCTTTCAACAAGCTGTTGATTTCGCTATTTACAAAATCGGACACCCCCATTGGGTAAGGATATAGCTTAGAATATCATTTACTGTTCGGATAGTGCCGACGATGTTAATATTATACGGGAGGGCTTCGTTAGAGTCGGCAAAGACTTTCTTTTTAATACCATTTCTTTGAATTCTTCTTGAATGTACTGAGGAACTTCTATGCCCTCTATTTCTGTAAAATTGACGTCTGTGCCTTTCAGAAATTGAATTATTTCAAATCCGGATTCGGTTTTCAAAATTTTATTTTTAAAATCCAACGTGGCATTTACTCTATTTAATAGGTCAAGTCCTATTATTCCATCAAATGTTGTCAGATTGGGGAGTAAAAAAAATGTAGCTGTGGTGTTGAAAAGTTAAAGCCATGAAGTGACTTAACGGAGAAAGGTTTATCTACTGCAATAACGTTTTTTAGTTCTGTTAGTGGTTTTATATAGTTCTTTGAGGCACCCGTGTCAATAAGTAATTTAATGGTTTTACCTGCTATCGTTCGTTCTACGGACCTCTATACCTAGCAGTCCCACTATTTGGTATTTTTGTGTCCTGATTTTGGAATGATAAGTAAGGGGGAAGGTTTTGGTTCCTTTGTTGAATTGATTGTCTAAACCGGGAGGAACTGTCAATTTCCATCGGTTGGGGTGGCTCCTGTTTTGAGAAAGAACTATTACTCTGTGCTTTTTGCTTATTAAAATATGGACTTTTACCCTGTGGCGGGCTGTTATTATCCATA